AAAAAAAAAAAAAAAAAAAAAAAAAGCCCTCATTGCCACCAAGTCAATTCTGATTTATAGTTACCCCTGTTGGGTGTCATCTTCCTCTGTGGAGTGGCTGGTGGGTTTGAACCATCAACCTTCTGGTTAGTAGTCAAATGCCTTAGGCACTGCACCACCAAAGCTCCTTACATAGTTTTTTCTCTTAACTTATTTATCTGTCAGGGCTTAATCAGAGAAGCTGAACCACTGGGAGATTTATATATATATACATATGCATACATGTACACATAAATATGCATACATGTACACATACATATGTGTATATATAAATCTCCCAGTGGTTCAGCTTCTCTGATTAAGCCCTGACAGATACAGTAAGTTAAGAGAAGAGACTATAATCTTGAAGTTTGGTATAAAATAGAGTCTAGATATTCATTCTGCTGTGCATGGGGTTGCTATGAGTCGGAAACGACTTGACAACACTTAACAACAACAACAACAGATATTCTGGAATTTCAGTATAATATGTTTGTGGAGAGAAATGATAAGTTCTTGCTCTCATTTTAAAGATTATTTTAATAATGAAAGCTACTGAATAATTACAAGTAGAAAAAAAAAAATCTCCACAAATTATTTCTTAGATCAAAAGATGCATGTTGTCAGGCATGGCGAACCCCAGTATTTCTGAAGTCACCTCGCTGTCCACTTCCTATTTCCCCAGGGATTGAGAAGGAAGAGATGTGGCAGGAGAATCATACCTCTCTGGAAGACTTCATCCTCGAAGGGCTCTTTGATGACTCTCTCCCCCACCTTTTTCTGTTCTCCTTGACCATGGTGGTTTTCCTCATCGCGGTGACTGCCAACACCCTCACCATTCTCCTCATCTGTGCTGATCCTCGGCTTCACACACCGATGTACTTCTTGCTCAGCCAGCTTTCCCTCATGGATCTGATGCATGTCACCACTACCATCCCCAAGATGGCGACCAACTACCTATCTGGCAAGAAGTCCATTTCCTTTGTGGGTTGTGCGACCCAGCACTTTCTCTATTTATCTCTGGGTGGTGCTGAGTGTCTTCTCCTAGCTCTCATGTCCTATGACCGCTATGTTGCCATCTGTCATCCACTGCGTTACACTGTCCTCATGAACAGAAGGTTGGGAGTGACGATGGCTGTCGTGTCATGGTTGGAAGCATCCGTGAACTCCCTCATTCACACAGTAATTTTGATGCACTTTCCTTTCTGTAGGCCTCGAAAAATCCACCACTTCTACTGTGAGTTTCCAGCTGTTGTGAAGTTGGTATGTGGAGACATCACTGTTTATGAAACCACAGTGTACATCAGCAGTATCCTACTTCTCCTCTTCCCTATCTTCCTGGTTTCGACATCTTATGCCTTCATCCTCCACAGTATCATTCAAATGCGTTCAGCTGGGAGCAAGAGAAATGCCTTTGCTACTTGTAGCTCTCACCTTACTGTGGTTTCCCTCTTGTTTGGTGCCTGTATCTTCTCATATATGAGGCCCAGGGCCCAGCGCACTCCATTGCAAGACAAAGTTGGCTCTGTGTTCTATAGCATCATTACTCCCACACTGAATCCTCTGATTTATACTCTCCGGAATAAGGATGTAGCTAAGGCACTGAGGAAAGTGCT